CCTAGGAGTTTTTCTATGAGATGGAGCTCTCAGCTCTGGCCACAAAGACTCTGGAAGTCACAGTCTGGGACTATGACATTGGCAAATCCAACGACTTCATTGGTGAGGGAGGAGCCTGCTGGGTGGTGCTGATGGAGGGCCAACTGGCAGTGAGCAGGGTCCTGATTTTGCCTCCACTGCTCCCCAGGTGGCGTGTCCCTGGGGCCAGGGGCCCGGGGAGAGGCCCGGAAGCACTGGAGTGACTGTCTGCAGCAGCCAGACACAGCCCTGGAGCGCTGGCACACCTTGACCAGCGAGCTGCCCCCTGCAGCCGGGGCTCTGCCCTCAGCCTGAGCAGGGCAATCAACTGCCCAGCACAGGCCCCTTGGGGCTGGGTCCAGTACCCGACCTTCGCACGAGTGTGTTGCACGTTTACACGGGGTGGCTGCCCCGCCCCGCCCTGCACTACCTGTCTTATTTCGTGAGAGTCTCTGTGACTGTGGGTCTGTCTTCTTGTGAGGGCTGTGGAGATCTGTATTCACATATGCAAACTTCCTCCTGCCTGACTCGCTACTACATGCAAATATGCAAACCACCTGCCCTGTGCACGCCTGCCGGGAGGTCCTGCCAGGGCCCCCGCCCCAAGGCCCCGGCTGCTGCTCCTCTTTCTTGCCTCTCCAGGCTGCCCCGTCCCCTCTGCCCACAGGGAGGAGGTCGGATTAGGGGGGGTTCAAAGGAGGAGAAAGTTTCCAGAAAAGGAGAGAAACCAAAAAAGAGCCAATCCTTTAACACAGAATCGTTCAAAAAGCAAAACATCTCGCCCTGTACAGCTGCCCTTTTAAACAGAAGGGGGGGGCGGGCAGGCACCGCAGGGTCTCTGCCTCTCCCAGAGGTGGCAGATGTTCCCAGCCACTCATTTAAATAACTGTCCACAGGATGGGGCCAGGATGTGAGGGCAGGCCCCTGCCCTCTGGTGAGGGGCCCACCTGCCAGGGGACATTTGTGCATGTTTATGCCTTTTCTGATTGTGTCAGTGGCCACAGCATGGCAACTGGGCGTCAATAAATGTCTCTGTGGAAGCTGGGGGCTCGTGTGTGTTGGCACAGGGGGCACTGGACAGGGGCTCAGGCAGAGGGGGTCACTCCGGGATGTCGATCACCAGGTCATCATCTCCGTCCAGGGCATCATCCCCGCTGCCTGCATCGCTGAACATCTGCCGAGGGACTGCACTCAGGATCGTAGGGGGGGGCATCTTAGGGGGTGGCAGTGGGGCCAGGGCTGCCCCCACCCCAGCCCCAGAACCCCGGCTGGGGAAAGTCAGCGGCCCTCCCACAGGGCAGTCAGGGGGTCCCACCGTCATCTGCAGCAGGGGGGAAAAACACAGGGAGGGGCTGTCAGGGAGGAATGGGACCTCCAGGGGGCTGGCACTGTTCGGTAAGGCAGTTCTGGGGGATGGGGAAGGGGCAAAGGCTCATTCAGGGGGTATTGGACACAGCCGGGCCAGCCATGCTGGAATCAGGAGCTCTGCCCCACCTTAGCCCCTGCAGAGTCTCAAACCAGCAAGTGCCTAGGGGTAAGTGGTAGTGATGGAGGCAGTGATGAGGGTGGTGGTGGAGCTTAGAGGAAACCAGGAGGGAAAGGCTGGGCCCCACCCTCACCAGGGAGGCACCTCGGCAGCCCCTGTGATGGCAGTTAGGGCCAGACTCAGAGTCAGCCTGGAGTGCCTGCCTGCCTACCTGCCTCTGGGCACCTCAGATCCCACTGGCCTCCTGTCCCTCCTCCTACTGTGGGACTCACTGGTTCAGTGGGGGTATCCTAGGTCTTCACCCCCTGCTAGTGAGGCTTCTTATATCTGGGATGGGCCCCTCCTTGGGATCCCCGCAGTCACTGGCCTAGGCCAGGCCCTCCTCTCAGCTCACCTGGACTACGGTACCAGCCTCCTAACTGGACTCCCTGCCTTCAGCCTCTCCCAGATCCAGCTCCTCCTCCGCACTGCAGCCAGAGTGAGCTCTCTAAAACACAAACCTGAGCGAGTCATTCCTCCACTGGAGGGCCTCAGCCTCCTTGCTGCCTGCAAGACAGGCAGTGCTGCGTGCCTGAGAACAGGCCAGTCCTTCCACCGGAGTGTCCTTTTCTATTTGTCAAAAGTCCTGCTTTGTCCTCTGAGGCTGGGAAGTGGCCTCTGTCCTTCCCAATCCTCCAGCCCCACCCCTGCCGGGTCCTTATACTCCTCCCCACACAGTGCTCCATGGGCTTCATGCTTTGCCTGAGCACCTACTAATAGTGATTCCCATTAACGATCTCAGACCATTCTGACCACCCTAGAAAGGAGAGGTCATGGGCCAAAGGAGAAAACTGAGGCTGCCAAGTCCCCACTGGGCAGTGTTCAATCTGGCCCTGGGGTGGGGGTGACAGAAAATGCTTATGTGTGTTCTCCACAGTGGCCCTTCTGATTGCTTTAACCCACTCAGCCCTCATGGCGTTCCTTCACTGCTGTTCCTAGGGTGCTGTGGAGGGCCAGAGTGGGTTTTTAATCAGGGTCAGCACCTCAGGGTACAGATGTCTGCCAGGACTGATGACAGACAGGAGGCCCAGTACTGGGCACTCATGTGTACACACAGGAGCAGACACACATGTACAGCTGAAAAAAACAGCGGCATGAGAACTGTCCCTTCCCTCTGGCCACTACTCTTGACCCCTACTCTAGGTTCCCAAGTCCTAACCCTGCTTGGACTTACTCAATGGCCTCCTCAGGTGACCAATAGCAGCTAATGTTGATCTATGGCTTACTAGAGACCAGGCACTGGGCTAAGTTTTCTCTCCTTTAACTCATTTTATTGTGACAGTGACCCCATGACCCCATGAGAAGAAAGCTGAAGCTCATCGAGTTAAATGACATGCCCAAGGTCACATGGAGGAGCTGGGATCTAAACCCAGCCAAGTCGGACTGAGGCCCAGGCTCTTAACTGACCTGTTTCAGTCTTTGCAGCTTTCCCTCCTCTCCTCAGATTTGCTACCTCCAGTCTCCATCCGCCAAGTCACTCAGAAATGTCAAGACCTCCACTCCCTTTACAGACCCTCCAGACTCTGGACGTCAAGGCCTTCTATGATCCCATCTCATTGTAGTTCTTTCCAACGTTGTTCAAGATCTCATGACTCCTACTCCAGCCCAAGCAACTCTTTCGCCATGTCCTTTGTCTTCCTTCCACCACTGCCTCAGCCAATAATATCCAAATCTCACTTACCCTGGGCTCAAATGTTACCTCTTTTGTGAGGCGTTCCCCGAATTATCCCCTTCCTCAAGCACAGCAACTGACTTGGGCTCCCAACCAAGATTTTCTCTCACTGACCAGAACTTAGCTCCCCAACACTCCTCTACTTTAGGACCCAACATCTCAGAAAGCCTCAAACTGCCAAGCCCATGCCACACTACACCTTTACTCATAGGCTCCAGGTTTCACTGACCCTTGCCATCTCCACCATCCTGCCCTATAGGCCAGAAACAAAAGCCCTGCTAAGTAGAGTGAAGAGTCAGTGTATCACCCGTTACCTACCTATTTTCAGGCATGAGGGTCAAGGTCACACAGGGAGTTAAGTGGCAAAGCCGGGATACAAACTCTAGAACCCACACTCAACACCACCACACGGCGTCTCATTTCACTTCTGGCTCCAAAACCTTGAGTCGGCAGTCCACCCAACTTGACAGCTGTCCAGCCTGGTACCTATTCCACTTTGATTCAGAGGTGGATGGGCACTGTGCCTTCTGTGCCCTTGTCTCCTGGGGCTAGGTGTGCAGACCTCTTCTCTTCTCCACCCACAGTCTTACCTGCCGATCGCATCCACTTCCATGCTGATGACTTTCAAGTATGTACCCCATGAGCCCCAGGCTCACATTACCCAGTTGTCTTGTTGGCATTTCCAGACGGCATCTCAACATGTCAAAAAACAAACTTGTCTTCTCTCCCAAACCTGCTCTTCCCAGTCCTCACTTCTTCAGTTGCTCAGGAGTTGTCCTTGACATCTTTATCATGGCCCACACTGGTCTTTCTGTGGCTCATTCTTTGAAATAGACCCATGACCCACTTTTCACCCTCTCCATTGCTATCTGGTTTAGTGCAGTAGCCTCCTCACTGGTCTCCCTATTTCCATCCTGACCTAAGCCCCTCCCCTCCCCAGCCTATTCTCCACACAGCAATGTCAGCAATTTTGTTAACATGTAAATCAGATCAGATTCTCCCTCTGCCCAATCTCTCCAAAGGCTCCCTATTCATTCATAGTACAAGCCAAAGTCTTTAGAAACCTACAAGGCCTACACAATCTTATCCCTCAGTTACTTCTCTGACTTGCTCTTTGAACATCCTCTCCCTTCTGACTTTCATCCAATCACACTGGACTCCTTCCTGGTCCCAGAACAAGCCAAATCTGCACACATTCCTGCCCCAGGGCCTTTGCACTGGTTATTCTTCCTGATTGAAACACTTTTCCAGAGAGCTTGTTCCCACTTCAGTGAAGTTTCTGACCAAATAGCATCCCAGACCACCTAACCAGAAATATCACCCCCATCTACTCTGGTGCTTTCCATCCTCTTTACTTGACTCCATTTTTCTGTACTGATACCTACTTATCTTGTTTATTTTCTGCCTATCTTACTAAAACGCAAGTTTCAGGAAGGCACCTGCAGCACCCAGAACAGTGCCTGGTACATAGTAAGACACTCCATAAACACTTGCTGATTACATGTATTTTGATTGCTCACTTTACAGACACAGAATCTGAGACCTAGAGGGTGAAAGAGCCCTGCTCAAGGTCCCACGGTTTTAACTGGTGCAGCCTTGACTTGATTCTGGATCCCACAACTCCACCCCACCCTCTGGGGTTGCCTGGCATCACAGAACACCTGTGAAAATGGGCCTGGCCCCTAGTCACACTGAAGCAATGTAAGAGCAGGACCCTAGGCACCTTCACTCTGAGTTCCCCAACGTTGGTCCTGCTCCTGATCTATCTCTACATCGAGCCTGTGAGCCAGCACTTCTCTGACCCATACCCCTCAGTACCTAGTGCTAGGCTGGGCCCCCAGCAGCCCCAAATCAATCCTTCAAAATTCTTGGACAGGCCCCCAGCCCCTGTCTTGAGCCTCCCTCAAATGGCTATCCTCCTGCCATTCTGGCCCCTCCCTAACATTCCCAAATCAGGGTACCTTGAGTTTCCGGGGCAGGCGGGGCCGTTTCTCCCGCTTGGGCCTCAGGGGGCTGGGCTCGGGCAGCTGCAGGGCCAGGTAGTCAGAAGGGAATGGGGGGTAAGGGGGGGAAGCCAGCTGCAGGTGGGAATGGGGGAATGGAGATGGGAAATGGAATGGATGGGTGGGGGGTGAAGGGAAAAAATGCAAACAGGAAGAATGGAAAAACAAGAGATGGTGATGAGTGTGGCTTCTGAGAACAGAAGGGGATGGGACAGCAGCAGGACTTTGTCCTGGGGTCTGCTCTCCTCAGTTATATCTGTCCCCCATTTCTACACCAGAGAGAACTGGGCAGCCCTGACTCACACCCCTCCAAGGGATGCTTGCTGGCCACACCCAGACTGATGTCCCCAGCACTGGGCTGGCTTCACCAAAGCCTGGCCCCTCTACCCAAATGACACCCACCATCTTCCCAGGCATCTTAATTACCATTGCCCTCCCTTGACCCCAACTCACCGAGCTCAGGTAGGGGGAAGGGGCCCCGGAGGCCTGAAGGGGAAACCCTGTTGAAGGAGGCAGAGAGAGGCTGGAGGGAGAGGGGGCACCCCCCATCGGAGGGCTTCTCTTCCTGGAGAAAGGATAGGGGAGGGGGTCAGAGGAAGCTAGGAGGCCCAGGTGCCCTCCAACCCCTATCCCCAGAGAATGATGGCTTCTTCTCACCTCTTGGGGGCTGGTGTGTCCGACAACTTGGGTGTCCCCTCTGTCTCGCTGTTATCTGAAGATGCAGTGGCATCTGAGTCTGTGAGCGGGGAGAGCTGGTCAGTAAGCAGGGTTCCTGTCTACCTCAGAGGGGTATAATCTCAACTCTATGGAAGGGCTCCAGAGAAGCTGCCTCTTCAGTTGGTGCACACATGCTATTCTGGGGAGCCCACAAATCCTCCAGCTTCTTAAAATGTCTTCACAACTGACTTTCACAAACACTTCCTGCCAGGCTCCTCCATGATAACGCATTTGTCAAGTACTTACTGTGTGCCAGCCGGGCCGGGCACTCTGTACTTTTAGACATTGGTCTAGAGCACTTTATATTCATCACCCTTCCTTGTCTTCTTAACCATCCAGGAAGGTGATGACCTCACCTCCACTTTTCAGATGAGGTCACTGAGGCTGAGAGTTAGGTGTGGGGACTTGAACCCAGGTATCTGACTCTCCGGCCAATTCATGCCACTCTCTCCTCATTCACCTCTAAGCTGCCTTCAGCTCCTGGCTCTGCTCCATTCCCTATATCCAGGGTCCTGATAATCTACCTCTCAAATTTCTCCTACCTTTTCCAATGCCCTCTATTCCAACTGCCACAAGGTCAAGCTACCACCTTGTGGTGTCAAAATCACATAAGCAATCTCGCCTCTCTGCAGCACTGTCCACTCCCACTCCAGAATGACTTAAAACATAAACCTGACCAAATCTGAAATGCTTAATGTGGCCTCAAACCTACCTTTCTGATCTCCCAACCAAACTGTACTCTTCACATCATGTCAACTTAATCAAAAAACATTTATTTCCCAGTTCTGTGCCTCCACCTAGAAGATGTCATTCATTTGACAAATAACTGCTACATGTGATATGTGCCTTTCTCAGTTTCTTGGCTCAGACTTATCCTTTAAGAAGCAAATTAATATACATGTCTAATCACTATTGTACACCTGAAACTAATATACTGTGTCAATTGTAACTGAAAAAGAAAAATACCAAAAAAAGTGCAATTTAATGCCTTTCTGAGAAGTCTTCCCCAAAATCCTTCAGGCCCAGTTAATTGCTGGCTCTTCCAGAACTCTATTCTCACTTGTCATGGTTCTCCTTACACTGTGCTAAAATGAGTCATGTGTGTGTGGGTATTTCCCTGACCAGAGTGTGGGATTCTCCAGGATACAAGTGGTGGCTTACGTGTCTAGCTCTTGCTTTGCAGATTTATCACACTCTGATTATGAACATGCTGGTTCTCATGTTTCCTGTCCTGAAACACCCCTCCATCAAGAAGTTATCTGGAATACCTCAGGGAAGGAACAAGCAGGCAATGAGAAGCCAGAATAAAAGCCAAATGTTTTGCCACGACCTACATGAGCTGGCTTTTCCTTATTTCTCTGACCTCATATCATCTACTATCCTATAATATGCAGATGAATGATGGTGTGTGTTCAAATAAAACAGTATTTATGAAAGCCTGGCTGAATATTGTTTGCTGACCCTGCTCTAGACCAATGTCTAAAAGTACTACAGAGTGCCCAGCTGGCATGGCTCAGCGGTTGAGCATCAACCTATGATCCTGACTGATTCCTGGTCAGGGCACATGCCGGGGTTGTAGGCTCGATCCTTAGT